CTTATATAGTAACTGTCATCCTAACCCCACTCTTAACCTAAGTAATATCTAACAATATTTATAAACACGTATTGTTCCACGCAGATTCTATATAAGGCCGTGATGTCACTTCGGTCAAGCTAGCCCTTTAGCGCCCACATGAAAACCAAATGGCATTATACTTAACTCGTTGAGTACCGTCATTATAGACACAATTATAGAACAATAGGTTGCGGTCACCGGTGACCGCTCGGTGTTTGACAGTTTAAATTCACTTACTTCTTACAATAACCTTAAGAAGCTTAATTCACTCTGTCTCCTGCAGTAATTCGCCGAGGGAAGTGGAAACTGGGAAAGTGGACTCCGTGCTACTATTGGGATTTTTAAAACCCAGTAACACTTTACCCGATCCGGGAATTGAAACCGAGACCCCTTGCCCGGCAGTCGCGCTTGCGACCACTTGGCTAACGACCATAAAATGTTAACTGTTCTTGTAATAGCCTAAATACCAAATGGGATGAAGTTCAGGACCTCCTTCAAATTATAAATGGTTTCCATAATCTCCTAATAAACTTAGCATGTTGGTTAAATATATAAGTCCCAAAGGTTCACGTTTATAGAAGAAAGCTGCTATCTGTATCTGTCAAAAAAATGCCATCACCAGGAGTTGGCCAAGACTGAATAAATACATTATCTTTCGTCATCAAACGCAATATTAAGTGTGGGAGAACCATGCTTCAAAGTCAAAGTCAAAATCATTTATTTCAATAAGACCAGAAAGGCACTTTTGAACGTCAACACAAAAATTAAAAGTGAACCTATTTGCACATTCCAAGGTGTAGATTCCTATGGAGAAGAACGAGCAAGAAACATCATGGGTTACTCTTTTTCAATCAGGTTCTCAATACAATTTACTAGTTACATAGATTTTGTTTGGATTGTGTGAAAACAATGTAACACTAAGATCCAGTCAAAGAGATCGAAAAAGAAAATAACCCTAAGGGCAATAAATAATACAGTCTGGAGCAGACCAGTCCCAGTTGATGGCGCCTTCGGTACGAATGGCCTCACAAAAACTGACTTGCAACAATACTTGTGTTGTGTTTCGTCGTGTGAGTGAGGTTACCATAGGCCCAATTACCCCCCCCCCTCCTTCCCCAAACTCCCCGAATCCTCAATAATCCTCAAATTTCTAATACCAAAAAGGCCGGTAACGCACGTGTAACTCCTCTGGGTGCTTACTCTTGAAACCAATCTCAATGTCAATGCAATTTCAAAAATAAAATCTCAATAATTAATTATCCAATGTCAAAACTATACAACACCTATCGTAGCTGTTAAAGTAGCATTCAGAGTACGGAATATAAAGCCAAACTCAATACCAATTATTTCATGAAATATCCACGCAATACGGATGCAATGGGTGCTAGTGCTGCAACTCAAGAGTACGAAATTTCTCAATGTCAATGTCGATCGATTGGAATTGGATTCAAGAAGAACAACAAGAAGTAAGCCCCCAGGTGTTTTATAGGTTCATAGGCGGCGCCGATTCCTTACAATCAGGTGATCCGTCTGCTCATTCACCGGCTTATTCCATAAGAAAATGAATATTTTCAACAACTGCTATCTTAAAACACCTTTCCTTTATTCGGAAGTTCATATCTATTTGTCAGTTTAAATGTTGTGAAATATTAAATTTAGCATGAAATAATTCCTTGAGCCTTCCGAAACAATCCCGTATCAGGACTCGACAGTAAATCTCATAATCAATGTTAACACCATCTTAGACAGTATTAACTCTGCAGAATTTGAATTTAAATATTTTCCTGTTAAATAATTGTTAAGATTATTTTCAAATTCAAATATCGTCAGGAGTAAGTCATGTAAGTTAAACTATAATAATACAATTTTCAAAATTATAAAATGTTAACATAATATCACGCCTTTAATCTCCGAAGGGGTAGGCAGAGATATTACAGCACATAATGCCACCGTACAATGTAACACCCACTTTTCACTATTTGTGTTATGAGTCCCATGTAATAAAGGGTGAGTCTATTGCCATATAGCGGGCACAATTACACACTACTGAGAATAAAAAAAACCCCTTTGTCTGACCCGGGAATTCAACTCGAGACCCTTGCCCACAACACCCCCGAGAAGAATAGTGGTTGTTGGTAAATCTATTCTAATTTACCGTCACCATACAGCTCGATATAAGATACTCCTTCGTCATTATTTTATTACTAAAGTCGTCCCGGCATCGTAGCGACCCCGAAAATTAGTCGTGAGGTGTAAAAGCGCTCCCGTTTAACAGTTTAATTTCCTTCACACAAGGTAGTTGTCAATCGAGGCGCGTCAGTAGCGACATCTCGCGGGAACAACTACGTAACTGCTAATTGTGAGCGCTCTATGTACCTGCATTTACGTAGATTTGGTTTAACTTGATTTACTGTTTAAGCTAATATTTAATTATAGCACTATCTTTTCCTTTTTTTATAAGTTTTTTTTAACTTGTAATGTATGTATGTATGTATGTTGTGAAGCAATCTAACAACTAAAACCCGATTACTGAAAGATTACTCAATTGGTATTTAACACTGATTATCAAGAGTCAATTTTAAGTGTTTAATTTAAAAATCGCGGGTTACTCACGTGCACGAGGGGAGGGGTTCTTCTTCATGAACAGCGTGCGCGGTTTCGCCAATGTCGCGCAGCCTATTCAGCATCGCCGCGTTAATTTAGTATGTCTCACGATAGTTATTATAAAAACAGTTAAGTCAGTTGATGGTTCTACCTGGACTTATCTTGGAATTGTAGAAAATTGTTAATAGTTTAATTTCTCGTAAAATGCACAGAAAAAAAGATGTTGTAGATAAACTATTTTTGTCCTCCATTTTTCACAAGATGGCGGCGTGAGCGGCTTTGTAAAATGATGAAGATGGCACGTACAACTTCAAATTTAGTAGCCTTTTAGTACTCGGGCGTAAATAAAGCAACTTTATCTTGAACCGAAACGAAATTTTGTATGCACGTTTAGTTTGCATGACCATATAATGCTGAAATGCAATTAACACTATCCAATTTCTATGACATAAAAGTGATTCTTCTGCTCGTTTGTTCTGTGTCCTATATCCTAAAAAACCATCACTATCAAAAAGTTGATGTAAAGTTATGTAGGGACACCTCTACCTACCTCCTTCGGGGAATATCAAGCATAAAGTACATAATACCAAAGAGCTTAAACAAAGTTTGTTCTCAAAACTCAGTACTATAACCAGATTACTAAAATACCGCATTAAACTGTCAAACACCAAGCGGTCACCGGTGACCGCAACCTATTGTTCTATAATTGTGTCTACAAAACCGGTACTCGACGAGTTAATAGTTAGCTAGTTTGTAATATCTAGGTATCATCAACAGCACGCTTGCTCAATACGGGTTGGCGATTACAAACTTATAATTAGAAATCATAAGTCCAGGTTTCCTCACGATGTTTTCCTTCACCGTTTGTCAGTGGTGTCTAGATAATCTTAAAAAGTACATATAACTCGGAAAAAGTTACATTGGTACTTGCCGTTGGTAGGTTTCAAACCCGCACCCTCACGCATGAGAAGCGGGCGTCTTAAACCTCCGGGCCACCATAACCCTCTATCTAGGTATGGTATTCTTTATAATATAATTTAAATTTAAATAATATAAGGTAAGGAAAAAAAGGAAATATATATGTGTTTAACTAAACTAAACTAATAGAAAAATTAAACAATAGTCATCTAAAAAATACTGTTAACAGATAGCATAAAAAATTCATCTGAATCGACTTCAATAATCGATATGATATTAAATAATAAAGACTATAAGCACCGTTGAACCGATAAATTCATTTTTAAACGATTTTATTTAGCTTGCCCCTCAAATAAAACAGTTTAAAAATGGGTTTTTAAGCGGTAAATAAAACCTTTTAAAAAAAGGTTTTTAAACGATTTTGTTCACACTAGAATTTCTCCTGTGTCGTGGGTGCGTTGGTTGCCCCGTTGATTTGTTTGTTTGGATATTGGACACCATTTTATCGTTGGATTATCGACTTTATGTCTAAACGATGATGATGAATGATACGACCTTCAAAACTTCAAGAAAAGAGTGTTTTCCTTTTCAAAGGGCCGGCAACGCACCTATGATGTAATAGGGGGTGAGCCTATTGCCATAATACCGGGCACATTTCTAGACTCCGTGCTACTACTGAGATTTTTAAAAACCCAGTAATACTTTGCCTGACCCGGAAGCCGAACCCAAGATCCCTTGCCCGGCAGTCGCACTTGCGACCACTCGGCCAAGGAGGCAGTTATAAACAATAAGGCAAAAAAACAAAACAGTCACGCTTTAAACAAAATAAGTTATATAGCTATACATGTCGGTGCTTATTATCCTATATTGACACTTTTTGAGCCAGCCATTATGATGCCTTGCTTATCAGCATCTGCATTAGACAAATGCGTAATATGCAATCTCAAATTCTTTAGCCAAGATAATCGATTATCAAACCATGAAATGAACAGATAGGACATTAAATTCAGTATCATCTGCATATTATAGCCGAAAAAACGTACAACATGATAAATAAAACTATAATAATCATAGCTATATCAATAAACATCACATTCCAATTCAGTTTCATACTTTGCACAGTTCATAGAACGCCACAAGTTTTCTCAAGAAAATCCGCTACGCAAGTCGAACTGTTAAAAGACATCATACAACAAAAATCGCTGAAACACAAAGACATCTACCCTGAAAAAGAAACATGGGGGAAGACCGATAAAGATGTATCTGCGGCTCGTGATGGAGGAACTCAACTTAAAAATATAGCTACTTCAGCACTAGCAGAAGTAAAGACAAACCATCAAACAAAACTAGAAGATAATGTTAGAAAAGATAAATTGCCCCGTATAGAATTGAAACATTCGACAAACACAGATGACCAGCAATATATTCAGAAGAAACCAGAACTTGATACATCGTTGATGGCCAAGTATACAGACGAAATAGAGCAATGGAGGGCTAATTTGGAAAAAAAACAGAGTATGCCTGGGGGAATACAAGAACTTGAAGAAATGAACGAAAAAGATCTAGAGAGAGAAATACGAATGTGGAAAGAAGGTAATAATGGTAAAATGACACAGGATTGGAAAGAAAATTACTCACAACAAGGTCTACCATTGACTGGAATTATTGGAAAATTCACATACAAACAGGAAAAACGAGATGAAGGATCAGGTCAAAACGAAAACAAATATGCAAATCAGAAATCACGATTAACTGAACAAGACGTAGAGAAACAAATACGGTTGTGGACAGACGCACATCCGAATAAAGAAATCAAAGAATTAAAGATACAATTAGACGCCCCGCCATTAACCAATGATCCCACATCAAAGATACTACTAGACTGGAAAGAGAAACAATTACAATTAGAAAAAGAGCGTAACAAATGGTTCGAACAACAGATAGAACTGCATTTATCATCAATAGAAAAATTAGGTTTGCAAAAAGTAAATGAAAATAAAAAAGAAAACCTAATAAAAAATGAATCAGTCTATTATGAAAGATTAAAGGAAAATGAAGACGTTTCAGAAGAAGAAGTTGTTCCAGAAGAAGAAGTTGTGCCCAATCCAGTGACAGATAAAGAACCTGTAATAAACATTTCGATTGGTGAATCAGACGAGTCAAGTGACTCCGTTAGTGACGAAGATGATGAACCAACGGACGTTAAGACTACACAAGTTAATGATAAAAAAGATGAATCACAGAAGCCTCTAAGTAGTTCCGAGAAGAAGGCACTACAATGGAAGGAAATTCTATTAAAAACCAATAATGATGGACAAAAGATGACAAATACAAAGAGTATAGAAAACAAAGTTCGAGAGGAATTAGCAAAAATCATGGCAAGTGAAGATAAAAACCCAACAAAAACAAAAAATAATAATTTTGTAAAAGCCATGACTAATATTGCCAACGTAAGTTTTACATCTATATTAAGTAATACGTCATCACCATCAACAGCCTATAAGTAGCCACGGTTGACCCGAAGGCCTCTTCTCATACAGAGAAGGTTTTGAGCATTAATAACTACGCTTGCTCTAAGCGAACTTATAATTACAAATTATAAGCCCTGGTTTCCTCACAATGTTTCCTTCACCGTTTGTCAGTGGCGTCTAAATAATCTTAGAAAGTACATATAACTCAGAAAACATTACATTGGTACTTGCTGTTAGGAGGTTCTGAGCCCGCACTCTCGAGCATGAGACGCAGACGTCAAATCTCAGGGTCCCCACGACTAATTTATTAATACTTAACATTAATATAAAGCTAAAGAAATTCTTCGTTTCTTTATACACGTTAATCTCCAGAACTACTGGTTTGAATTCAACAATCCTTTTTGTGTTGGATTGTCCATTTATCGAGGAATGTTATTAAAATATCACGCAACGATAGAACGTAATCGAGCACCAGGTGAAACCGCACGAAAATTGCTTGTCATTAATACAATTAAATGTCTTTAATTTGATTCGCAAATGTCATTGGATCCTTTTTTGAGCGAAGAAAATCATCCAATGACTTCTCCCGCCAGGGTGAGACGAGATAGAGTGTGAGACTCTCACTGACTAAAAACCATCCCATTTCTACTTCGAGCCGGAGCCTCGACAACCCGTTAAGTCCTCCGCGGCTCCGTATCGGCATCAGCTCTATTGGGCCCCATCCGTGGTGGTCTGATGGCTCTTTAAGGCGCGCATGGAACGCGACGCGCCGAACGCTCGGGTCTTGGTCTGTGGTCTTAGTACGAGTCTATTTTACGTTTAACGTAATCGTAAAGAGTACGCGTTCGGCGCTCTAATTGATTGCTTAATTGGCGCCGGCCAATCAGACTGCCGGACGCGTACTCGTTTCGAATACTTTAAACGTGAAACCAACTGGTACTAAGGCCTATACTATTGAATTATAGTGTATTGCTGCAATGACGTCCTTGCAAAGATAATATGTTTAACTTAAATTAATACTTTATTTATTACAGTCAACAAAAATCAAGATAAAAGAATTGTTGAAGAAACAATTGAAAAATCAAATGGTAATTGTATTTCTAATAAACATTAATGCTACTGCTAGAAGTAAAGGGAGTTTGTGATAAGATGGCGTCTGGATGAAGGAAAAAAAATATAACATTCAGTGTACCATAAATTACTTGTGATAACCGTAAGAAAATGATGATTATAACGTCGTAGGTTGCCTAGGATTCAAACAGGTGTTATTCTATATAAATCCAAAAATTTTGCCAATGGAACACACTACCACTTTAATATCGAAGAAAACAAACCTGCGTAGCTGTTTTTATAAATTATTTAGATAATGTTACATTTTCATGCTTCCTTAATGCCATACTTGTTGACCAGGTGCTTGTGAATGCGATGGAAGCTTAAGTAATACTGACTGCACGGTTGGCGCAGTAGTTGGGCAACTGGCTATCGCGCAACGTATCGCGGTATCGATTCCCGCACGGAACAATTCTTTATGTGATTCACAGATTGATGTTCTGGGTGTAGGTGCCATGTGTATGTGAACTTGTATGTTTGTAAACGCACCCACGACATAGGAGAAAATCCCAGTGTGGGCAACGTTTAAAAAAATAGCAAGAATCGTACTAGCTGGCGTTCTATCGTTTTCGTTTCCTTTTCTGCTTTCTTCTGTATAAAGTTTTTTGTCCCCCTTATGGGACAAATACATGAGTTTATGAGTACAGTACAGTACGTCAGTAGAGCAGGCAGCAGTTCAATATTTCTTTTCTTCATTACATGTTCAACTGTATCGTCTTGACATAAAGGTACTTCCTCACCGGGAGCATTCGCATTCAACCTTTTAGTGAAAAATTTAATGACAAAAGTTGAACTAAATTAATGTGCTGGTCTCTGTACATTATATATTTATTTTTATTCACAGGGTAACAATACGCTTATGAAGATGACACCTAAGAAAAACTCTTTACGTAGTTCTCTCTTAAAACATAAGAGTGCTACCAATAAAGCTCCAGGAAAATGCATTCAGAAGGTAATTTAATTTCATATATCTACCAACAGGAATTGGACACTTTCACTTTCACACTCGAACATTTTAAACTGTCAAACACCAAGCGGTCACCGGTGACCGCAACCTATTGTTCTATAATTCACCCAGGCGGGGGCAGTCATTCGATGATTTTCCCCCCTTAAAAAAAAAAAAAAAAATTGTTCTATAATTGTGTCTACAAAACCGGTACTCGACGAGTTAAACTGCTATCTTCCACCTGCCTGCCAAGCGTGGCATGGCATTGAGTTTGTGATATATGTACCTAGTCTTATGTAGACGAAGCTTATAGTCTAACAGAGAACTGTAACTTGGAAACTTTGAAAATTCTCAGTATCAGACCAATGTTCATCGCCATCATCAACAACCTATAAATAGCCTATAGAGTTTGCGGTCAAAGCCCAGGTTTCCTCACGATGTTTTCCTTCACCGTTTGTCACTGGTGTCTAAATAATTTGCGAGAGTACATATAACTCGGAAATAGTCACATTGGTACTTGCCGTTGATAGGTTTCGAACCAGCACTACCAGGTATGAGAAGCAGGTGTCTTAAACCTTCAAGCCACCACGACCAAGTTTAGATCAAGTAGAAGTAGTTGTTTAGAAATCGCATATACTAGCACTTACCTAATCATCGATTCAGTAGACATTTTTGTAGACATATGTATTTTGAAATGTCAAATGTAACGTTGTGATTAATTATTCAAAAACCGTTATTTCTTCCAGTGTTTCGCACCAAAATGTAAAGTTCAAGTGAGTTTTTATGACTGATATAAATACAACCATATAAGTAACTGAAAGAAAGAAAGAAAGAAACTATCGTGAGACATACTAAATTAAGTAAAAACGCGGGTTACTCACGTGAATATACTGAGAAAAGATCTACTAGTTTCGAACCACAGAGGGGTTCTTCCTCATGAGCAGCGTGCGCGTCGCGGCGACATCGCGCAGCTCAGTATATTCACGTGAGTAACCCGCGATTTTACTTAATGCAAAATACATTATTTAATTTTTAAGCCGGTGAACGCGCAGACGGATCACCTGATGGTAAGCAATCGACGTCGCCCATGGACACCTGGAACACCAGCGGCGAGCTATACAAATGCGTTACCGGCCTTTTGAGGTTTAGGAATTTGAAGATTATTGGGGATTCAGGTATCGGGGAGATTAGGGAGGGAGGGATGCATTAAAATGTATGTCTTACTCACGTAATGTGTCTGAAGCTCTACCAATTTCAAGTATAGATAGGAATCATATTCATGAGCCGCGTGCTGCGTGCAGTCGTGCTCGGCTGACAACGATACCCGGCCAATTCATTTACTTCACATTTTATTTAAGTACAAAAATTATATTCCTTTCGTATGATGATGAATTTTGTATAATTATGTTTTTTGTTCATGTCAGTGCTTGGGACACGGCGCATCGGCAGCGGTAAGTAAAACTTTTACGTAATTTTATTAATCTTTTGATTTACATGAAAATGTAATATTTAATTTATCTTTCATAATACACACTATGATTTTCTCCTGTCTCGTGAGTGAGTTTACAAACATACAAGTTCACATACACATGACACCCAGACCCGGAACAACAATTTGTGGATCACATAGTGTTGCTCCGTACGGGAATCGAAACCGCGGTACGTTGCGCGGCAGCCGGTTTCCCGCCACTGCAGAAACCGTGCCGTCAAATTTATTAAAACAAAGATCACAAGCGTGGCTATGACGTGATTACGTGAAACAACGCTTGCGTTTATTATGCTTCACGCCAATTGTTATGTATTATTATACAGGAGACGTACGTACAGTAACCATCAGTTAATTACTGAGCCGACCAATGCAATGGTAACAAAAGGTTTAGCTTAATAAAAAAAAATATCTATAGTTTACCTGTAGACTACCTCGTTGGCTAAGTATTCGCAAGTGCAACTGCTGAGCAAAGGTTCTCAGGCTCGATTCCCGGGTCAGGCAAAGTATTACGGGATTAAAAAAAAATCACAATTGTAACACGGAGACTGGAATTGCGCCCGGTATATGGTAATAGGCTCATCCCCTATTACATGGGACTCATAACATAAATAGTGAAAAGCGGTTGTTATATTGTACAGTGACATTAAGTGCCGTCATGTACACTTCTGCCTTCCCCTGTCGGGGATGCCCCGGAGAACTTAATGGGTTACTGGAGCTGTCTGACACTCCCTCTCGCCTCACCTAGGCGGGAGAAGCCATTCGATGATTTTCACCCATTGGAGAAAAATGAACCTTTCGGGGATAAAAGGCGTGATGTTATTCTATGTATCCTTTCTTACCGCTACTGTTACTAGTCACTGTATTACATCAATCTTTATTATTTTATCTGTATTCTAAACAACTTGGATGATTGTGTTTTATGAACATTTCATTTTCAGTGCAGTGCAAACTCTTGCAGTGCTGTGGTATGTTATTTTAACATGAATAACAATAAAATAGTATCCCAAATTTTATTTTAATGTCCGACTTTTTTTATGGGATAAGACGGTTAACGAGCAGATGATACACCTGATGGTAAGCAATCGGTGTCGCCCATGGACACCTGGAACACCAGAGGCGTTACAAGTGCGTTACCGGCCTTTTGGGATTAGGAATTTGAGGTTTGTTGGGGATTCAGGGATTGGGGAAAGGGAGGGAGGGTGTAATTGGGCATCCGGTAACCTCACTCACACGACGAAATACAACACAACGTTGTTTCACGTCGGTCTTCTGTGAGGCCGTGGTATCACTCCGGTCGAGTCGGCCCATTCGTGATAAAGCATGGCTCTCCTACACTTACTACTTTATAACCCGCGAAGCTGTTGGCAGAAGCGAGTATTGTAATAATATTATGTACCTACATATTTATGTGTGGTACATGAAGAATATATCTCGACTCCCAGCTTCCAACGACATTCGAGTAACATTTGTGGTTTATATCTTGTGCCCTATTAATCTTGGAGATATATTGAAACTATCGATCGGTCGGACTAGTGATCGTAAGTGCGACTGCCGGCACGGGGTCTCGGGTTCGATTCCCGGATCGGGCAAAGTATTACTGGGTTCTAAAACAAATCTCAATAGCAGCACGGAGTCTGGAATTGTGTCCGACATATGGCAATAAGCTCACCTCCTACTACATGGGACTCATAACATAAATAGTGAAAAGTGGGTGTTACTTCTGTGTGCACCTCTGGCTACCACTTTGGAGATAAAAGGCGTGATGTTATGTTATGTATTTGCTCGATGTATGGTACAGGTGATAATAATAATAAAAAGTAGTCCTACATACATCGCCTATTGTTTGCGGCCTATTTTAGTTGACCTATTTAGTTTTCACCAACCTATAGCCAAGGACTCAGAGCGGTCATTCACTCACGGTCACTTAATGTTTTACATACATATCTGTATCCTACAAAGGCTGCAAGCCCACAACCGCGGTTTGCGCGGGAGAATGGCACCGTGAGTCTTTCCTATAAGGGCTCGTACACAAAACTGCGATGCGACGTCGCAGCGTAAAAATGTGCGAGCTCCCTCTACGCATCGCAAGAACTTGCGAATTGATTCGCATCGCGCATCAAAATCTTATCTTCCCAAAATCTTCTTTGTTTCTTTTTCTTTTATCTCCTAAGCAATAACAAAAGTGCACACTTCTTTTTACGATCCATGTCACGACCTAGTTTTCAATTTAAAATACGTTTAGTACGGTTGACGATCGTCTAAGGAATGGTCACCTTGAGAGACGCCTTGTCGAACAAAATCGCATCGCAGTAATTCGCATCGTAATTTTCTGCGTTGCAAATTCGCATCACATCGCATCGCAGTTTTGTGTACGAACCATAGTGACACTTTACAGCACAAATGAGTCAGTTTAAGTGATTTAGATTTAGATTTTATTACACTTATACAAGGTATGTTTTCCTAAAACAAACTAGTAATTATTTAACATATTTGCTTGCAGACTAGAGGTCTAGATTCTGCATCCTTAGTAAGTCGTTAAATATTTTTTTGCACTATACCTACATATATGATTAGCTTCTGTCAGGTTTGCCAGACCTTAATCTATCCCTGTTTCAAATCTCATTGCGATCCCTTCAGCCGTTTTTGTGTGAATGAGTAACAAACAAACATACACACACATCCTCACAAACTTTTGCATTTATAATATTATATATTATTAATAATGACTGCCTCGATGGCCATGTGGTCGTAAGTGCGACTGGTGGGCAAGGGGTCTCGGGTTCGATTCTCGGGTCGGGCAAAGTATTACTGGGTTTTTCAGTAGTAACAGGGAAACTGAAAATGTGCCCGGTACAACTCTGCCTACCCCTGCGGAGATTAAAGGCGTAATGTTATGTTAAAAATATTGTTACGTAAGTTGTTGCGTCTAAGCTATATAAGGGATTAAATTTTAAGTTAGTATTTACATTATTTTTAGATTAAGTTTTTAATGTATTTTCCTTTGTAACACTGATCTAAATCTGAATAAAGGCTATATTATTAAGTTGTTGCGTCATATATTATTATGTAAATATATATTATAGTATTTAGTTTCATTTATTCATTATTTTAGTTGAACATGCTTGATTCTTGCCATCATTATTTGTCTCTGCAACACCAAAAGGTTTGCCTTGAAAAGGATGCCCACGGCATTAAGCCCGCCTAAATGTATATCTTTGTCCATGAAGCGTTAAATTAATAATATAAAATAATAATAAAAAGCGAACTTATTGCTGAAATACTGTTTTAAGTACAATTACTCATAGTTTCATATTATTCCAGTGTACGGGAGAACTATGTGATGCATTGGTAAGTTAAATAATCATTTCAAATCAAATATTCGTAGAATTAATTATGAATGAAATATTATAGATTAAATTCCATTCCATTTATAATATGTACGACTCATATCTAGGTCATTTCTCAAAAATTTTTAGGACAAAATGATTCTAATGTCTAATTTTATAGTATCTGCCTAATCACCTGGCTGTGATGCCGTCTCCTCCTTCTGCGATGCAGTCATGCTAGCTAAGGAGGAGGCGGGGCGCGTGGGTGAACGCACCTCCTCACACCCTAGCCGTTGAGAGAGACAATCCAAGTGTTGGGGGATCGCGAGACGATCTCCGGCCTTCATAAGCACGGGCTTGCGGACGGCGAGCTCGCCGCCCGACCAGAACCAGACCCGAACGTGCGGTGGCATATCGCAATCCGCGCGCGCCTCAAAGAGCCATCAGACTACCACAGATGAGGGCCCAATACAGCTGATACCGATACGGAGCCACGAAGGACTTACCGGGTTATCGGGACTTCGGCTCGGCTCAGACTCGAAATGCAGAAGTTGGAACGGGGTGTTTCTTACTCAGTAAGAGTCTGACACTCACTGACTCCATACCCAAGGCGGGAGAAGTCATTGATTATCTTCCCTCAAAAAAAAAAGCCAAATCACCTAATATCGACCAGATAGATGCTAAGACTGAGACCAACTCTTACTGAACAAAAGCAACACCCTTTATTTAAGGGGGGAAAATCATCGAATGACTTCTTCCGCCTGAGTGAGGCGGGAGGGAGTGTCAGACACTTACTGACTAAAAACCACCCCGTTCTTACTCCTGCACTTCGAGCCGGAGCCCCGGCAACCCGTTAGGTTATGTCGACACCTCCTTTGTGACCCCTTTTATGACATTTTAGGTCCACTGATGGACTTCACGGCCTGTTGATATGATTAATGATTAATTTTATATACATCACAACAGACAGATTGACATACATGTTCTGCTAATTGATTTTAACCGCATATACAGGGAACTTTGTTAAGGTGACTATGGTTTTAGTGGAAAATATTTGGGGGAACATTTTTGAATTTTTGTCTTTAGGAGCGCTTTGCTTGAAACTTTGTGCGCACGACTTTGAGCATAAATATTCCGTTACTTTTTTAAACATAGAATAGAATAAACTTTATTGTACACCATTAATAATAATAATAACATACAGAAAAGGAAATGACAAACATGTAAAAATTTTAGAACATCGCACAAATTAAAAAACTGAAAGCAATACCTCGTGTCTATGTCAAACTGATCTGATTAAGGTATTATTTTTTTTAAAGATAATGGTTTAATATTCTGTCTGACCGAAACTGCACGAATCTGTCAAAAAGTCAAAATCCTTTACACAAAGAACAAAACTAAAATTATTTATCCGACAAAATACAACAGACATACACAACCTACACATAACCAGTTTACACCGGTCGTATCCGGTTAGATGCAGTTATAACACGTCACTAGAACTAATTCAATAGTCTATCGTTGTGACTATTGTGCTGCTCACCCGCTGTTAGTAACTGGCGTTATAATAAAATAATACTGTACTGAAATAGAATCAGCCAATTTGTTGTGGCGGGCGAAAATGACTCTTACTGACTTGAGCAATAGAATTGGAAATGGTGTTTTTGGTATTGCGTTATTGCTATTGATACTAGAGGTTTCTGATCGAAATACACTTTTGTTCTGTTAAGGGGTAGGTAGAAATGTTTATTTTGTAAAGATGTAAGGTTATATTAAACCGATTCGGAGTCGCGGAGAACCTAACGGGTAACCGGGGCTCCGACTCGACGTGCAGGAGAAGGAACGGGGTGGTTTTTAGTCAGTAAGAGTCTGACACTCCCTCCCGCCTCACCCAGGCGGGAGCAGTCATTCGATGATATTCCCCCCTTAAAAAAAAAGGTTATATTAAAAGGAGGTTTTTAATGAATACCTACACGTTTGTTAACTTTTTGCTTATTTGTTAAATTAATATTACATAATTCGAAATAGATGTACCTAAATGGACAATAATAATAATAATAATAATAAAATATCTAGACTTAGCTCACGAGGTTGTCGACATGTGGAGTGTGGATTCGGCTATCATTGTGCCGATAGTCGTGTCGGCCAATGGGTTAATCCCTAAAAGCCTCGACATCCATCTTAGGAGGCTGGCGTTAGGTGGATGGATCAAGGGCCTGATACAGAAGGCAGTTCTCCTAGAAACGGCACGTATCGTGAGGAGGTTTCTGTCTCTGGAGCCCTAACCACCGGTAGCTTGGACCATGCTCCCGCTACTGGTCGGCTCCTATTTTTTATATTTTTAAATATTATTTTTATTTTATAAGTAGTGTTTAAAAATGTAATTTATAGAGAATTTTAAATAAATATATGTAAATAATAATAATAATAA